ACTATAGTTACGGCAAGTTACAGCCATGTGACAATTATCATTCGACTTCATTGGGACGATTCTACTGCATCACTAATGCTAACCCTAACATAAACGAAGATTATAGTATACGTATACTGTATATTGTCAATTATCATGTGAAATTTGGTTTGATAATTATTCCGCGACTTTTTATTATCGTTATATATAAATCAACTTTCATATAATATCCATTTAATTAAAAAAAGGTTTTGGACTGCCTCTTTGTATGATCTTGTATGAGTTTAAACATCCATACTTTATAATGACACAAAGTATTTTAAATTTTTTAACGTTGATTATTCGTTGCATCTAATTAATGCAAAGACCTATTTATAGTATATCGAAACACAAATTAATAACTTAATTATGCTGCCGTTGTTTGATGCAACATGCATGATAGCATGGTCGCACCATTCGCTAATAAAGAATCTTTTAAAGTCGTACGCTTGTTTCTGGTAGCAAATTGAAACATACTCTTTTGCACTTTAACTCCCAATCTCAAAACATCATAGCTTTCGCTTCTGAAGGATGGCTGTTCAAGAATCTACTACACGTATTAGTCAGTTACTGCCATCAGTAAACTGTGCCGATTGCGGTGAAGCGGTGGAGTTTCGAAAACTTGGAGAGCATATATGTAAGGCAGCCCCCGCCGTTCCCGAATTGCCTAGCGTTTACAAGAATAGTGCTAAAAGACCAGGTACATTATTAACTTTTATTTTTTCTGTATCAAGTACTGCTTTTTTAAAATAAAATAATAATATTTTTTTTTTCTTTTTTTTTCTTCAGGTAACAACGTTTCAGGCATAAATAAACAAACCAATAACTCGAGACCTAATATTGCTACTGGTACGTTCAATTTTAACGTATTTAAACCGTTTTTATTGTGTCCATTAATCTTACCTTCTTTTTAGATGAGAATTTACGTGATAATCGTCTGTTACCCCGATCACCCTCACCTTATGATGCTACTCCATCTCCAACTGATTCTGGATACTCCAGTTATTCAAGTAAATATTCATCTCCACCTTCTGCAAGTTCTCCAAACGGAAACAAACCTTTTCTTCCGTTCATGCAAAAATACCAACAAGCCACCGCCGGAAAACCGCCATCACAAACGTCGTCTGAACCGAGAGATCGATTACAGAATAATTTTAATACAAATGGAAGCAATTATTCTAGCAAATTTTCAAGTAATTCTGATAATTTTGACAGCGAAGTAATGCCAAAACACAGACCACATGATGCATATGGGTCATCAAATGAGAATCGTAGTCAAAGACAGGATCGCTATTTGCGAGGTCCTAATGACATTTACAATAATGATCGCGATCATAAGTATCGAGAGGAAGAGCGTAGTCGAAGCAGATCACCTGCGGGATACGATCGTACCAATGATCGATCTGATTATGGTTCAAAATTTCCCCAACCTTCATTAAATCAGTCAAATGGCACAAGAGATTACGAACAGCTCTACAAACCTACCTATGATCAACAAGATAATAAACCATTGTACGGTTACTCTGATTCTGGAATGCAGCATTCTCACAAACATTCACAAGATAAAAATAACGTTTCGCCACAATACGTACCTCCACTGTTCGATAATGGTGGTAAAAATCATAGAAAAAATGAGCATTCATTATCATCTTTAAATTCTAGCACATCTGGTCGTGGTATGTAGATTTATGATTATTGGTGCATTAAAATTGTATATACTATTTAAATTCTTTATAATCACTTCCTAATTCTGTGCTTATAAAGAATTGGTGATTTATAGTTATAAAATTTTTTATGTTGATTGTATAGAATTCTTTTTGTTTTATATTTGGTTTATATTTGGTTTATATTTGTTTTATATTTGTTTTATATTTTTGGATTTAACCTGATTTTGTCTTGAACTACAGTAAAGTATCCAGATACGAATAAAGGAATTTCTGATGACTCTAAAGAACTCTTTGGTAGTGGATTTGATGATTTGATGGAAGATTTAATGAGAGAGATGGACAATATGCAAACTCCTGCTTCACGAAGTGATGGTATCGGAGGACTGCATTCAGGCCATATGAAAAATAAACCGTCATCCGGAAGGAAAGAGGTTCATATTTGCGCTTATTGGTATGTGCTAATTATGTATTTATGATATTTTATTGTATTAAGTTCTTTATTCATTGTGTGCTTAAACATTTAATTCCTTTATTTAAGCAATTTACCAATTGATTCTTCTCCAATGTGGGCGCTCAATAAAGCATGGCATTCGTATCACCTTCTTTGTACACAATGTCATCAACCTATTGACCCAAACGTAGGACACGTCGAAAGAAATGAAAAGGTATACTGTCCGAACGATTTTGCTGATCTGTTTTTACCAAAGTGTCGTAGATGCCACCTACCAGTAGAAAGAGAAGCTGTAAGTGCGAGCGATGGAAAACTGGAAGGAAAGTGGCATGTGAAATGTTTCAACTGTCATGTAAGTATTGGGTTATCATTGAATTTTTGATTCGCTTTAATTTGAATTCTGTGACTTTTCATAAACACACTCTTCCTTTTTTTTTTTATAGACATGTAGTCAACCTTTTCCAGACAAATCTTTTTATGTTTTTAACAATGCGCCATATTGTAAATGGCACTATCATAAACTGAACAATTCACTCTGCAGAAATTGTGATAATCCTATTGAAGGTCCGTGCGCGCAGACAATCGAAGGATGGAGATATCATCCAAAGTGCTTTGTTTGCTATGTAAGTATTGCAATTCATTGTTTACTTACGGTTTGCGAATTATATTAAAATAAATGTGCAGTCGCATCTCGACATAAATTCTTGATATCTTCAAAACCAATTACTATAAACTTATAAGTGTACTTTGACATGTTTCTTTTATAAGTACATACCTTTCAAAAGTCACTACGATCCCGATGGTATTATTATGTCGAGGTGCAACTGTATTTGCACACAAATATTAACAATTACCAATTTGAATATTACATATTAGAATTGTCGAGAACCTCTCACAGATATTTACTATAGCTTTGAGAATAAACAATACTGTGAAATTCACATAATGGAAATTCAACGTAAACGCAAGATTAGGGCAGAAAAGAGAAGAACGCTATTCCAAAATATTTGAGGGGGTGTTTTTTCGTGATTATCCACGCTTTTGTACTTTATTTGAACTTTTTAACCTTTTAGATTAGAGATTGTACCCG